AAAGCAAGCCACCAGTTCTGGGACTCGAACCATAGTTGGCAATGTGGGAGTACCCAGCGACTTAATCACCACGCCACCTACTGGTCCCGAGGCAGGTGTTTTTTATCAGCGCTATTCTGCAGATGGGGAAACCACGGCTCAGAGAGGTGAATACTAAGTTCCAGAACCTACAACCATGAGTGGTCAGGCTGGATACGAGCCCGCCCTCTGCCACTACTCCACAGAGGACCCTCTCTTCGTGTTATTCCATTTACGATCTCAGTAAATATGGCAAAAATGTTCAACACCTCAGGAAGCTGGCTGATGGGTGTGTGCCTTTGTTATCATTCTGTGAATGCTTGGGATAGCTCAGATTTGGAGAGAGGCAGCTGAGAGAAGACGAGTGGGAGCCTGCACAGCTTCCCCACCTCCTCTCAGGTACCAGACCCTGGAACGGTCCAGAAAGCATATGCCCGAGACGCTGGGACACAGGACCCTTCCCACTGGGTGCAGGTGCATGCTCGGCCCGGCTTCCCGTGTACTCTCCCCAACCCTGGCTCTCGGGTTTCTTCGGTTTCTCTCGTGGCCCCAGCTCTGGAAACCTCACGCCAGCAGAATCAGTGACAGGAAGGCACGTTCTTCTTGAAGGGAGCTTCTCCAAATGCGATCCGAGAGTAAATTTTGAAGGGGAGGCTCCAGAGTTCTGAGATTTTACAATTATGATTATTTTTAAAGTTAGTTTACTTCTTCCATGAGCAAGAAGGAAAGACGGAGAAAGAGAGAGCACCCCCAACGGGTCTGGCTGTGTGAACCAGTCCCTTCCAAGCCGGTGGATCGCGGGCACACACATGCCGGGTACCCAGGGATGTCCTGGGATGCAAACCTAGGACCTGGCCCTTCAGGTCGAGTTGTGTTCCCACTGTGCCACCACCTGGCCCTAGCTGTAACCGCTTAATGTCACAGCCCAGTGAGGCTGAAAGTTGTTCCTGACCCCAGCTTTTCCACCTGGCACCATCTGCCGCCTGCCACCTCTGAGCACGCGTGGAAGGGTCTAAGGATCATCTGCTTCAGCCAGGGGCTGTGGCCACGGTCCCACTGAAACCGCCAGGCACCGAGACACCTGCATCCCTGACAACCTGCTTATTCCCCCACTTTCCAGACAAGATAAACAAGGCCACGAAGTGCAGTCATGGGGCAGCTACGCCCCTCTGCACCAGGCTGACCCGAGGGTGCCACGGCTCTCGACCTGGCAGGAGCAACGTGGCATGAAAGACACCCAATGGGCCAGCTGGTGGCAAGGTGGTTAAGGCGGCTGGATCCCACATGGCCAACTGTGTAGTTCGAGTCCTGGACCCTGCAGCTTGAGAAATACGCTGCGTGCACGTGTGCATACCTCCTGACAGGAGGGAGAAATGGAGAAGGGACTGTGGTGTAACCAGTCCCCGTGGCCCCGTGGGGGGAGGGGGTGCTTTCTCACTTCCTCTCTCTCTCCCCAGCAAGTCCATGTGCCCTCTGGCAAGTTAAAAAGTAAATGAGTAAAAAGGACATGAGAGAACCCACCAAGTGCTGAAAGAAACAGAACTGGACTGCCGCCTGGATGCTCCACAGCCAGGACATGAAATCCTGACTAAGATTCCAGGCACAGACCTGGCCGCGGGGGCGGTGCCAACACAACTGCCCTGTGAGGCTGGAAGCCACGGGCCCGTGGTGTGTTCGGATCCTCAGGGCCACCTGACAGACATCCAGGACTTGAGGAGCTGGGGGGCTGGGGACAGGGACGTGGCATGATGAGACCCTGTCAAGGGCACTTCTCTCTCTCCCACACACACTATCATTTAAAACAGATTTCAGGTATAATGGTGACCTGTTCTTTTGTTTGTTTCTTTAAAGAGTCCTTATCACTTACAGATACACCCTGAAATATTTAGGGTTAGAATTACAGAATGTTTACATTTTACTGCAAAACAGCCCAGTCGGGGGTACTCAGGGGCATAGAGATTGGCACTGCCCCATCTGGCTGCCACTGTAGGACACGTGGTCATTCCACTGAAGTTCAAGTTAATTAAAATTCATTGAGGGACCAGCAGTTGGTGTAATGGCTACACCGCTGGACTCCCATGTAGTCAACGGTGGTTCCAGTCCCGGACCTGGTGGCTTAAACTCAGCCAGATACATGTGCGTGTGTGCCCAACCCCCTTGGGGGGTGACTTCTCGCCTTCTGTCTGTCTCTCTCTGTCTTTCTAGTCAGTGCATGCGCCCTATAGCAAAAACCTCTCCAAAAAAATAAATAAATAAATAACTGAGGGGTCAGCCTATGGCTTGGTAGTTAAGGGAACTGGATCCCACAAGCTGTGAGGTTTGAGTCCCAGACCTGATGGCTTAAGTAATACACTGGGTGCATGTGTGTCCATGACCCACATTCTGAAAGGAGAAACAGAGAAGGGACCGCAGCGCGACCAGGCCCCTCTGGGGCATGATTTCTCCCTCTCCTTCTTCTCTCTGTCTCTTTGGCAAGCATACATGCTCGCTGATGAATTTTTAAAAATGAACTGAAATCAGGGCCCACAGGAAGCATGGTGGTTGAAGGTGCTGGACTCCTACATGGCCAACTCCAGTTCGGATCCTGGACCTGTCGGTTTGCTTTCTCACTTTCTCTCTCTCACTTGCTCGCTCTGTCCCTCTCTGGTCAAATTAAAATAAAAAGAAAAAAATAAATAAAGTTAAATCAAATAATTCTAAAAAGAAAAAAATTAACTGAAATCAGGAGCCAGCAGGTGGCATGGTGAAGGGAGCTGGACCTCCACATGGCTCGTGGTTTGAATCCCGGACTTGGTGGCTTGCTTTCTCACTTTCCCTCTCTTTCACTCTGTCCCTCTCCGGTCAAATAAAGTAAGTAAATAAAGTTAAATAAAATTATTCTTTTTTTTTTGGAGAGGTTTTCGCTATAGGGCGCATGCACTCGCCAGACAGACAGAGACATAGAGACAGAAAGCAAGAAATCACCCCCCAGGGGGGATGGTCACGCCGCAATCCCTTCTCCTCCATTCTCCTCTCGGGATCTTGGGCACGCACGCACACGCGCCCGGCTTGAGTTTTAAGCCACCGGGTCCGGGACATGAACCGCGGTCGACTACGTGGGAGTCCAGCGACATAGCCATTACGCTAACTGCTGGTTCCCCAATAAAATGATTCTTTACCCCCTAAAATGAATTGAAGTTAGCGCAGAAAACATGAGCAGACATTTTTCCAAAGACGACGTGCAAATGTCCATTAAGCACAGAAACGGGTGTTCGACGTGACTGGTTTGAGCCCAGCAGCAGCAGCTTGAGTAACACACCAGACACATGTGCACGTGAGCCCCAAATCCTGAGGAGAATGGAGAAGGGACTGAAGCTTGGCCATGGTCTTTAGAAAAATGTTTACCCACGATGAGGGGCTGGAAGGCAACACAGCAGTAAAATACGGTGCTCTGTGAGGCTGACTACATGGAAGGTTCCAGGTTCCCGTCCAGAGACCTCCCTGAGCACATCAGGCACAGAGATACCCACGATCCAGGCCTGGCTGTGGCTGGGGGGGACTGCAGTGTGGACTGCAGTGTGAGGACTCTAGTGAGGATGCTGTCTGTCTGTCTCACTTACGGCTGATAGACTTAGAAAAAAGCCATAATGAGATAACACCTCAAGCCCATTAGAATGGGTGCTGTCAAAAAAACAAAAACAACCCCAGAAAATAACAAGTGTTGGCAAGGATGTGGAGAATCAGAACCCTTGTGCATTGTTGGTGAGAATGTAAAGCGGTACAGAAAACGCTTTGGCAGTTCCTCAAAAAAATTAAAAATAGAATCACCACATGATCCAGCAACTCCACTTCTGGGTATAAAACCAGAACTGTGAGCAGGGGCTGGGAGAAGGAGCGGTATACTGAAGCTTGCAGCGGCA